CGCTGCCGATCGGAACATCGCCATAGGACATATCCAAAGAGAGGAATCGCAGTCTTCTGTTGCACGCCCCTTCAACGTCCACCACAGTAACGTTTGCTGCCTGTCGGTGGCATACCTTACAGCCTTTGAATTTGAGAAACTGGAGATGAGTGTGGTTTAGCAATACATCACGATTTCTTCTTCACCGGCGAGGCACTCGTGAAGAGCAACCTCCTCGTGGTGAGTGCTGGGTAACGCGAATAGCTCTTCCCCCGTGTAGAACCGAGGCAGAATATTTCCACAGCCTCCAATTGCTGGTCGTATGTGGCGACTAAAATGGGCAACCTGTTTGCCGTGGGTTGCGTCCCTGTGTCGGCGGAGGACGGGAGTCTGGTGGTTGAGGGCACTGGTTCCAGGAATAGCGTTCCATTGCCCAATACACCACTTCGACCCTTACTTCACCTAGACGGGTGGTAGAATGGGCCCGGTTCTATCAATCGGCTGGTCATGTCGAGCCCTGTGCATTATTTGTATTTGCACAAAATTTGTATTCAAATTTCATTTACTTTAGGTCTTGACATATTGTTTATGTACCCAAACTTGATTTTTTGATTGACAAATCATTAACATGCCTAGAGTCGTTTGCCCAGAAGGCAATGGCTCATGGGCCATTCTGGTGGATTAATTAATTTTCAATTAATTCTTCTGCTTGAGTATATCACCTCAGTATCCTTGGTGCTGCCAGTTGGAGGTCCACTGGTATTTAGCATTGTCTTTATGACACTCCGTGGTGGGTGGGGAGCTGGGGTGATGAACCTTAACTACACTAACCATGGCACACGCAAAAAAAAAAAAACGTGCATTAGAGGATTCCTCTGATGAGGAGAATGCAACCCTGAAGACTTCGTCTACTTGTTGGTCTCGATTTTTAGTGGTTTCTGCCACCTATGGACAGGACATAGCAACAGGTTGTTCTATATGATTATATACATAAATATCCCGATTTGAAAAGTGATTATTAATACACATTTCAACCTGCGCGTCTCATAAGCAATGTAATCAACTTAAACCTATAGTTTCGGTATGGTCAGGGCTTCATTTTCGTGAAATACACAACATTCAGCATTGTATAGCATACTGTAACCAAGTACATATATACACATGCAGCTCTCTCAAATTAATTAGAATTGCTAGCTACTTTAGATTTACTTACAGTCAAGAAGTCACACACACATTGCCTCGGAACAAGCCAACTGTAGGAGTGTGGGCAAACCCAACTTATCTATGACTAAAGAGAACGGGGCTCCTCGCAGGGAAGATATGTCTATGCTGTGCATGAGTTTTGTGATGCGTTACAATGCAATGTGGACAGCTCGGTAACTCATACCTACCGCTTGGTATTATGCTCTGAAGAGTTACTTGCTTTGACTAGGAAGACAATCTGTAAGGATCGTTTGGGCAACTTTCTTCTTATACTTCTCATGTACACACGTGGTCGACCAAAGCGGTGAAGTTGGGGTGGGTGGGAGTTCGGGTGGGATGGAGTGAGTGTGTGTGTTTTGTTTTGTTGTTTTTTTGGGGGGGAGAGAGATTTACAAGGGTGTAGTGGAAGGAGTATTCAGAGTGTATGGGAGGGAACGTCCAGGGTGTATTGGCCGCTGTTTTCAGGGTTTTGAGAAGAGTGAGTCAAGGGTATAACGGAGGGAGTGTTCTGGGTGTATTCGAGAGAACGTTCACTCTTCAGGGTGTATTGGTGAGAACGTCCAGGGTATAGTGGAGGCAGTGTTCACGTTGTATTGGAGATAACGTCCAGGGTGTATTGGAGAGAACGGCCAGGGTGTACATGAGGGAGTGACCAGGGTGTAGTGGAGGCAGTGTTCAGGGTGTAGATGACAGTGTGACCAGGGTGTAGTGGAGGCGGTGTTCAGGATGTAGGTGAGAGAGTGACCAGGGTGTAGTGGAGGCAGTGTTCATGGTGTAGGTGAGAGAGTGACCAGGGTGTAGTGGAGGCAGTGTTCATGGGGCAGGTGAGAGAGTGACCAGGGTGTAGTGGAGGCAGTGTTCAGGGGGCAGGTGAGAGAGTGACCAGGGTGTAGTGGAGGCAGTGTTCAGGGGGCAGGTGAGAGAGTGACCAGGGTGTAGGTGAGAGAGTGACCAGGGTGTAGGTGAGGGAGTGACCAGGGTGTAGTGAAGGCAGTGCCTTTACTTTGGGAACATAGCGGTTCTCGGCTCTAGGCTACGACCTGACCTAGATAAATGTCCTCCATGTTTTTAGTTGGTTATTTATTCTTCCGGGTTTGTAGCCCAGACAGGACAAAGTTATAGGTCGTTCCATAGGATTATATACATAATTATCCAGCTTTGAAAAGTGATTGTAATTACACATTTGAACCTGTGCGTCTCATAAGCAATATAATAAACATAAACCTAGTTTTGGTTTCGTCAGGGCTCCCTTTTCGTTATATAAACAACATGCAGCATTGTATAGCAAAGTATAGACAAGTACATCTATACACATGCCGCTCTCTCAAATTAATTAGAATTGCTAGCTACTTTATATTTACTTACAGTCAGTGAAGTCATTGATACATTGCCTCGGAATAGGACAAATGTAGGCCTGTGGGCAAACCCAACTTAGCTATGACTATAAGAAAAAGAACGGGGCTCCTCGCAGGGAAGATATGTCTATGCTGTGCATGTGAGTTTTGTAATGCGTTACAATGCAATGTGGATTTCGTGTTGATTTATAATACTATAGCTCGGTAACTCATAACTACCGCTTGGTGTTATGCTCTGAAGAGTTACTTGCCTTGACTGTGAAGACAATCTGTAAGGATCGTCGAGGCAACTTCCTCGGTATAATTCTCCTATACACACGTGGTCGACCAAAGCGGGGCGGGGTCCACACGCCATCATATTCGGAGGCCGTATTCTGGGTGTTGGGGAGAAATTTACCAGGGTGTAGTGGAGGCAGTATTCAGAGTGTATGTGAGGGAACGTCCAGGGTGTATTGGCCGCTGTGTTCAGGGTGTTGAGACGAGTGAGTCCAGGGTATAGTGGAGGGAGTGTTCAGGGTGTAGATGAGAGAGTCCATGGTGTAGTGGAGGCAGTGTTCAGTGTGCAGGGAAGAGATTTACCAGGGTGTAGTGGAGGCAGTATTCAGAGTGTAGGGGAGAGATTTAGCAGGGTGTAGTGGAGGCAGTATTCGGAGTGCATAGGAGAGATTTACCATGGTGTAGTGGAGGCAGTGTGCAGGGCGTAGGTGAGAGAGTGACCAGTGTGTAATGGATTCAGTGTTCAGGGTGTAGGTGAGAGAGTGAACAGTGTGCAGTGGAGGCAGTGTTCAGGGCGTAGGTGTGAGAGTGACCAGGGTGTAGTGGTGGCAGTGTTCAGAGTGTAAGGGAGAGATTTACCAGGGTGTAGTGGAGGCAGTATTCAGAGTGCATGGGAGATATTTACCAGGGTGTAGTGGAGACTGTATTCAGAGTGCATGGGAGATATTTACCAGGGTGTAGTGGAGGCAGTATTCGGAGTGTAGGGGAGAGATGTACCAGGGTATAGTGGAGGCAGTATTCGGAGTGTAGGGGAGATATTTACCAGGGTGAAGTGGAGGCAGTATTCAGAGTGTAAGGTAGAGAGTTACCAGGGTGTAGTGGAGGCAGTATTCAGAGTGCATGGGGGAGGTTTTCCAGGTTGTAGTGGAGGCAGTATTCAGAGTGTAGGGGAGATATTTACCAGGTTGTAATGGAGGCAGTATTCAGAGTGTAGGGGAGATATTTACCAGGTTGTAATGGAGGCAGTATTCAGAGTGTAGGGGAGAGATTAACCAGGGTGTAGTGGAGGCAATATTCAGAGCGTAGGGGAGCGATTTACCAGGGTGTAGTGGAGGCAGTATTCAGAGTGTATATGAGGGAACGTCAAGGGTGTATTGGCCGCTGTGTTCAGGGTGTTGAGGCGAGTGAGTCCAGGGTATATTGGAGGGAGTGTTCAGGGTGTAGATGAGAGAGTCCAGGGTGTAGTGGAGACAGTATTCAGTGTGCAGGGAAGAGATTTACCAGGGTGTAGTGGAGGCAATATTCAGAGTTTTAGGGAGAGATTAACCAGGGTGTAGTGGAGGCAATATTAAGAGCGTAAGGGAGCGATTTACCAGGGTGTAGTGGAGGCAGTATTCAGAGTGTTTCGGAAAGAACGCCCAGGGTGTAGTGACGGCTGTTTTCAGGTTGTTGGGGAGACAACGGACAGATTGTGGTGGCGGTTGTTTTAAGGCTGGGTGTTGAGGAGAGTGGGTCCAGGATGTAGTGACGGATGTTTTCAGGGTGTTGGGGAGAGATTTACTAGGGTGTATTGGAGGCAGTGTCGGGGTGTAAGTGGGTAAGAGGTATGTTTATGACGCACCGTGACAACACATTGACACTGAAATATAAAATGAACGAGTTCCAAGTCTACAGCTTGGGTCATACTGTTATGACATGCATGTATATATGTTTCTGCATGTATAGGGTGTATATATCCATATCTATTTTTAACACATAAAACTATAGAAAGTTACTTTATCAAAATCTCAGAATGCACGAGGGGTAATTAATCACCACAATATGCACAGTAATGAAGGAAGTATTCTCCGCCGTAATCTCGAGTCATGCCTTCTCCGTTGGTTCACATCGATTCTCGTCTCTCGTCTACGACCTGACCTAGATACATGTCCTCCATGTTTTAAGTTGGGTGTTAATCCTTCCGGGTTTGTACTCCGGACAGGACATAGCTACAGGTTGTTCCATAGGATTACATACATAAATATCCCGATTTGAAAAGTGATTTTTAATACACATTTCAACCTGCGCATCTCATAAGCAATGTAATCAACTTAAACCTATCATATAGTAGTTTCGGTATGGTCAGGGCTTCATTTTCGTGAAATACACAACATTCAGCATTGTGTAGCATACTGTAACCAAGTACATATATACACATGCCGCTCTCTCAAATTAATTAGAATTGCTAGCTGCTTTAGATTTACTTACAGTCAATGAAGTCACTGATACATTGCCTCGGAACAAGCCAACTGTAGGAGTGTGGGACGACCCAACTTATCTATGACTAAAGAGAACGGGGCTCCTCGCAGGGAAGATATCTCTATGCTGTGCTTGAGTTTTGTAAAGCGTAACAATGCAATGTGGATAGCTCGGTAACTGATAACTACCGCTTGGTGTTATGCTCTAAAGAGTTACTTGCCTTGACTAGGAAGACAATCTGTAAGGATCGTTTGGGGGAGTCCACACGCCATCATATTCGGAGGCAGTATTCAGGTTGTTTGGGCGAGATTTACCAGGGTGTAGTGTAGGGAGTATTCAGAGTGTATGGGAGGGAACGTCCAGGGTGTAATGGAGGCACTGTTCATGGTGTATTGGAGAGAACGTCCAGGGTGTAATGGAGGCACTGTTCAGGGTGTTGTGGAGAGAACGTCCAGGGTGTAGTGGAGGCAGTGTTCAGCGTGTATTGGTGAGAACGTCCAGGGTATAGTGGAGGCAGTGTTCAAGGTGTATTGGAGAGAACGTCCAGGGTGTAATGGAGGCACTGTTCAGGGTGTATTGGAGAGAACGTCCAGGGTGTAATGGAGGCACTGTTCAGGGTGTTGTGGAGAGAACGTCCAGGGTGTAGTGGAGGCAGTGTTCAGGGTGTATTGGTGAGAACGTCCAGGGTGTAGTGGAGGCAGTGTTCAGGGTGTAGATGAGAGAGTGACCAGGTAGTAGTGGAGTCAGTGTTCAGGGGGTAAGTGAGAGAGTGACCAGGGTGTAGTGGAGGCAGTGCCTTGTGGGAACACAACGGTTCTCAGCTCTTGGCTACTGCCTGACGTAGATCAATGTCCTCCATGTTTCCATTTGGGTTTTTTTTTCTTCCGGTTGTGTAGCCCGGATAGGACAAAGCTATAGGTCGTTCCATAGGATTATAAACATAAATATCCAGAAGGGATTATAATTACACATTTGAACCTGCGCGTCTCATAAGCAATATAATCAACTTAAACCTAGTTTCGGTTTCGCCAGGGCCCCATTTTCGTGATATAAAAAACATTCAGCAGTGTATAGCATACTATAGACAAGTACATCTATACAAATGCCACTCCCTCAAATTAATTAGAATGGCAGGCTACTTTATATTTACTTACAGTTAATGAAGTCACTGATACATAGCCTGGGATCAGACCAACTGTACGAGTGTGGACAAACCCAAATTATATATACACTATAGGAGAACGGGGCTCCTCACAGAGAAGATATGTCTATGCTGTGCATGTGAGTTTTGTAATGCGTTACAATGCAATGTGGATTTCGTGTTGATTTTATATTACTAAAGCTCGGTAACTCATAACTACCGCTTGATGTTATCCTCTGAAGAGTTACTTGCCTTGACTAGGAAGACAATCTGTAAGGATTGTCGGGGACACTTTCTTCGTATAATTCTGACATACACACGTGGTCGACCAAAGTGGTGCAGTTGGGGTGGGTGGGGGTTGGGTCGGGGTGGTTGTGAGTCAGGGTGGGGGGTGGGTGTGTGTGTGTGGAGGGGGGTCCACACGCAATCATATTCGATCATCTGTTGCTGCAAAATGATTAATTCCTCAAGATTAAACTCTATTGGCGAAGCTTTTGATCTCTCTCTCTCTCTCTCTCTCTCTCTCTCTGTCTCTCTCTCTCTCTCTCTCTCTCTCTCTCTCTCTCTCTCTCTATATATATATATATATATATATATATTATCCGGAATTACTTCTATGTTATAATTTGTTTGTTTGTTTGTTTGTTGTTTAAGCCGCACTCAGCATTATTCCAGCTATAAGACGACGGTCTGTAAACCTTGTAATGTGTTTTGTCTCATTACTTAGCTTCCCTGTTGAACCCGCACTATCAAAATGTTGGTATTAAGGAATGTTGAAGTTCAACTGTGCAAATGGAAACCAAAGCTGCAGATAAGATGATAGTCTCAAATGAAATGCTCAGATAAGTATTCAGCCATGATTGTTATCTGTTTGAGACAGTAAAGAACTGGTTGTGGACGACTTTGTACATGGCTTTGCTAGGCCATCTGCTATTTTTTAGCGTGGCTTTATTCCCTGATTCTCGGGGATTAAATGTCAATATCTACATCGACACCAACGTTGTCCTCAACAGAGTTCAGGACAACTTTGTTGGCGTCACCCTCGACTCCAGCATTATTCAAACTGGTTTGGAAAAGAGCAGTCTCAACTTGTCGTGAGTTTTCTTTTTTTTTCTCAAATTAGCTGAATATGCGTCCTTAGTGGTCCTCTTTCGCCTTGCACAATTGTGTGTTCGATGTTTTTATTATCATTGACATGTCACAATGAAGGTCACAAAGACACCTGAGCTCATTCTGTCATGGGTGGGTGCTTACTCCCTGCATCAAACTGGAGTTTCTCGAAATATTAACCTGAGAAGCTGTTGTACTCGTTATCGTTACACTCATTCACGCACTCACTCACTCACTCACTCACTCACTCAGCCACTCACTTAAGCTGATTCTGTGCCAGTTGGTTGTGCAATTCAACGTATATTAATGACATTTCAACTAAAGTCCGAATGACTTTCTCACATATCATTTTCACCTCTAATCGAGTCGTTTCTTAATCCATGCTATTTTCAATTAGATCACCCAAATTGCTTAATCTGGCTGGGGGCTTCCAACCGAACATCCTTAGAATCGGCGGGACTGCCGAAGATGGCATTTCCTTTGACCCGAATAGCGTCACAGAAAACAACCAGGGGGATCTTTCAGGTATATATTTCTCCTTCTTATTTATCTTTGAGATCAGGTTAACATATTCGAAACTGGACAAACTATTGTTTGTCTATTTGTGTCTATTTGTGTGCACTCAACAGTATTCCAGCTAAATGACGTCAGTCTCTGAATAAACGAGTGTGGACCTGGAAGTCCAGTGAGTAAGATCATGAACATCGACCTTTGCAAATGCGATACGATGACATGCGATTAACCAAGTCAGTTAGACTGAAACATGATCCATTTGTCACCTCTTACAAGTAGTGGTTGTTGGGGACTTATATTATTCTTACCTGAACCCATCAACCCGCAACCAAACTGGAAGAACACCTCTTACACATCAAGGAAGATTATTTCCTGTTAAGTATTGAATTCCAAGCTCCATAAAAATCCGTACAAAGTAATTGCTGGGTCTAGCAAACGTATTTTTATCCTGAATACAAGCTAGGAAGGAAATTTTATATTCATAGAAAGTATTGGAGATAAATGCATTTAATATCATGATGATTCTTAAAATTGCAAATGGTTCGCTTATTTTTTTTCTTATGTCAGAAAAGACCCAGCTTCATTTATGTCAAAATGTTTTGTTTTTGTTGTTTTTCTTGTTCACTGCGGATCCACATGACAATCATTCATATAGTTACATCTCTCTTCAAAGTTTATCGAGAAAACAATGTGTGATATGATCGAGTCTGGACCAGACAATCCAGTGATTGACATCACGAGGAAACGATCTACGCTTTTGAGATCCGATGACATGCATCAACCAAGTCTGCGAGCCAATTGTTCTCTTATGAACGTATGTATATGTTTTTCCAGCTTCTGTTTGGGATGAAATCAACGCTTTCACATCCCTTGTTGGATGGGATCTGATATTTGGCCTGAATGTCCTAGAAAGACGAGATGGGCAGTGGGACCCTACCAACGCTGAGCTATTCCTTAATTACACATCCAAGAAATGATATCAATTGTATGGTCTAGAACTTGGCAACGGTAGGTGGGGCATAAGAGTGGTAAGGTTCAGGAGAGAGTGAGTGAGTGAGTGAGTAAGTGAGTGAGTTGGGTTTAACGCCGTTTTAAACATAATTCCAGTTATATCACGGCGTGTCAGCTTAATATGGGAGGAAACCCTGAAGTGATGCAGGTCTCAGACGTTTACCACTTCGGTGAAACCCACGAGCACGGATATGGTGCTGACAAACCTAGAAACATAATCGGGGCGGACCGGGATTCGAACCCACAATCATAGGTTTCTGGCGTGCCCAAGGGACGCAACTCTGCACAGCGAATTGTGGCGCCTCAGACGACTTGGCCACCCGTGCCGCCCGGTAAGGTTCAGGACGAAGAGAAGCACAAAATATACTGTAAATCTTACCAGAGAATGTCATGTTAACAGCATACATGTGTGGACAATACATACTGCATGCCAAAATCTGGTTAGGGGATTGATAGTGAATAACGTGGTTTGAAACCCGTTCATGGTGTCACCTTCCATGATATGACAGGAATAGTGCTGACGGGGACATGAAACCAACCCCACTCACTAGTTCATTCAGGACTATGAAATAGGATCTCAAAATCCTGCTCTCTACATTTTTTTCATATTTCTATATATTTCTTGCAGTCTATTCGAAATTTGATTAACAGTGATATTCATGTTTCGTGGCTTTTCTGCGAGTTTTATATGGGTAATGTGTAAGTTTTTATTCAAATGAGTTTGATATTTGATCTGTGGTATCTTAGACTAGTCACTTTCCTAGGGCCTCGGATGTTCCCCAAAAACTTTACCAGTCAGTGTCGGCCCAGCAACTTGGAAAGGATTTTGGAACACTAGAGAAGGTGCTCAGAGATCGGCCACACTTCAACAACACTCGAATTCTAGGGCCAGATGTTGCGGGCATTTTATCAAACGATACCATCTCATATGTGGAAGAGTGAGTTTGTTTTCAAAGATTCAGTGTAAAATATCTTTGTGTGGATGGACCTTGATTTAACATGGTGCATTTAAACAGCAAGCATACACTACTGCCCCATGCAATGATTATGTCTATTCGAAGGAGAGCGGGGGTGGCTGTTTCGGTCTACTGGTCGCGGCACACCAAATTGACGGTAAGAAGATAGTACTTGTTGTTACCCTGCCTGGTGATAGGCATTAAGGGGGATCGAACAAGAACTGGCCTGATGGAAGAGTAATATTTCACCCGACCACATCTTATTCGAAATATGCAACACCACATGACCGTTTTGTGTATTGAACATTTTTCTATCCTGTTTTGTGAAAAAGATTATGATCATTTTTGAAGGAATAGGAAAACTAAAATCTAACTATGTTGAGTGTATATGTTTTAGTATTTCTATAATTAACAATCATAATCCATATCTATTAATAATAGCAGTATTGGTTCCTTGAAGGAATATGGATCTTACAAATAACAATGACAATTGTATCTGTCGTCAACTTTCTCATTGAAAATTGGAGTGAGTTAGTGAGTGTTGTTTTACGCCGCTTTTAGCAATATTCCAGCAATATCACGGCGGGGAACACCAGAAATGGGCTTCACACATTGTACCCATGTCGGGAATCGAACCCGGGTTTTCGGCGTGACGAGCGAATGCTTTAACCGCTAGGTTACCCGACCGCCCCTTGAAATATGGAAACGAATGCTCCTCATACATATGCTTCTTGGTATTTCTGTAAATATCTCACATCTGTTGTTGTTTTAATTTCGCATTTAAGGTTTTTAGCTGCAGGCGGAGCCAGTGCGCTAGATGGGGTAACGTTCCACCAGTGAGTATGAATAAAGTCGATGTTGTCATCAGCTCATCAAATGTTTGTTTGATGTATCCAAACCCCTTTTGCAGTCAGCCGTAACTGCCTACGAGATGCGTGTTGGGATTTGGAAAAGAAAACGTTATATTTCATGCAAAATATGAAATACATTACGATATTTAAGGACAAAACACTCAGGTTATTCGCCACTAATGAATGTATACATACACAAGTCTATGGCACATGTTTCTTGTATATGTACATTTGACCCTTGAAAAGTAAACATACTCGCGTACGTGACACATGTTCCTAGGAAATTTGTCTGTTTAAACGACTCCTTAAAAGGAAACACACTCGTGTACGTAACACATGTACCTTGTATTTGTCTGTATAAACGACTCCTTATAAGGAAACATACTCGTGTACGTGACACATGTTCCTTGTAGTTGTCTGATTAAACGACTCCTTAAAAGGAAACATACTCGTGTACGTGACACATGTTCCTCGTATTTGTCTGTATAAACGACTCCTTTAAAGGAAACATACTCGTGTACGTGACATATGTTCCTTGTAGTTGTCTGAATAAACGACTCCTTAAAAGGAAACATACTCGTGTACGTGACACATGTTCCTTGTATTTGTCTGTATAAACAACTCCTTAAATGAAAAAACATACTTGTGTACGTGACACATGTTCCTCGTATTTGTCTGTTTAAACAACGCCTTAAAAGGAAACATATTCGTGTACTTGACAGATGGTCCTTGTATTTGTCTGTATAAACGACTCTTTAAAAGGAAACATATTTTGAAGTGACACATGTTCATTGTATTTGTCTGTATAAACGACTCCTTAAAAGGAAACATACTCGTGTACGTGACACATCTCACTTGAATGTGTCTGTATAAACGACTCCTTCGTATAAAAAATACATATTTACGATACACATTTTACTTGCGTTTGTCTTGCATATTTGACAAGGTTCAATACATATCTTTACAATCAGAGGGACAAGAAAAATATTTCATTTCTTGAATGTAACTTACACTAATATACCAACTTTATGCGAATATATTTGGGTTTCACCGAAGTTATAAAAGTCTGAGAGCTGCATCACTTCGGGCTTTCCTCCCACATTAAGCTGACACGCCGTGATACAACTGGAATACTGTTAAAAGTGGCGTTTAGCCCAACTCACTCACTCACCCACTACTAAATCATGATTTTAGTTTAAAGTCGATGAATGTACGGTAGTACAAACGAGGGATGTATTGACAGTAAGCAAAGTAAACACCTTTCTTCCTTCTGCTTGTTTGAGATTTATACTTTCAGTGATACAAGCACACTGACATTTTATTATCTCGAGGTATTTTGGAAGTGGGGACAATACAACCAAAGAGATGTTTACAGACCCAACCTTCATGGATACACTGAATGCTTCCTTTACGTCTGCACACAAGGCTACAGGAGCGTTGGCGTCCAACAAACCTCTTCTCCTGGGCGAAACAGGTTCCTTTTACCATGGCGGAGTGCTGAACATGACGGACACCTTTCTGGGGGGATTTTTGTGGGTATTTCAGACAATAGTCACAAACAGCTCCACAGTTGGATGACCCGTGAAGATCCGGGGTAGAATAGTTCTTCAGCAACCCATGCTTGCCGTAAAAGGCGACTATACTTGTCGTAAAAGGCGAATAACGGGATAGGGTGGTCAGACTCGCTGACTTGGTTGATCACTGGATTGTCTGGTCCAGACTCGATTATTTAAAGACCGCCGTCATACAGCTGGAATATTGCTGAGTGAGGCGTTAAACAACAAACCAACCAACCAACCTACAACAGTTTGGTACTGCTTGACCCCTATCTAAATGTATAGAAGGATATACATTTTCATTTGCTGTGATATCTAGCCATGCTTCACGTACAAAATATCTGTACTTTCTTGCTGAAAACGATTCCACTCCATGAGTCTCCAGCGCATATCATGAAGGTGATTGAGATCTATGTGTTAATGTTCACCTATAGATGGATGGACAAGCTCGGCATGGCCGCCCAGTCAGGCATTCAGAATGTGTTCAGGCAGGAATTGTATGGACTTGGATCAGCCAATCGCCTGTTGGAGTCATTCACATACGACCCCCTACCGGTGTGTATACATTACATGTGCTTCAATTACGACGGGCTTTTTCTAGAGGTAGGATTTTTGGGTTATTCACACACACACACACACACACACACACACACACACACACACACACACACACACACACACACACACACACACACACACACACACACACACACAGACACACACACACACACACACACACACGCACACATACACACACACACACACACACACACACACACACACCTCCATATATGAAATGGTTAATGGTTAGTCCTTAGATGTTTCATAGATTATGCAATATACCTGTTCTCAAATATAGGCACCGACGGTGTACTTGTCTAAAAGCAGTGCAGTTCGCTGTGCCAGAGTTGTGCGAGTATCCCAGATACCCGTGCTCATGCTAGTCGGGATTGGTGGGATAGCCTAATGGTTAAAGCGTTCTCTCGTCACGCCGAAGGCTCTGGTTCGACTCCCTACGTGGGGACGTTTGTGTCAATCAAACGATGTCCACCGCCGTTACATTTCTGGAATATTGCTTAAAGCTGCGTAAAAATCTTACTCACGTACTCACTCGTGTGTTTCACTAAGACATGCATTCACCTGACATGAAATACAGTTTAAAGCTGTGTTAATCACAACACACTGTCTTGGCAGCATCTTATCGCGTCTGAGTCGCGTGGTTCGATGCTCTTGATGCTGATCACTGGATTGTCAGGTGCAAACTCGATTTATCAACAAGCAAAAAATGATCATTGTATAACCTAATTTCTTTTTTTGTAGGACAACTGGTTAACCTTTCTCTTCAAGAAGCTTGTGGGCAACGCCGTGTTCAAGCCTCGAGTCGTGGGCCCGCCCACTGTAAGAGCGTACTGCCACTGTATGAAGTCCATAAAGTAATTATGATGAATCTTTTTGTTATCACAAGTGTTCTGCACAGGAATACCGAACATCATTTTGGAAGATTTTTGTTTGAAATCCAAAAGATTGCCAGTATTTAAATTAATG